AGTTTGCTCTTGTCCTGTTTGTAGTAAGGAGAATTGGGAGTTAGAGAGGGGTTTATGGTCAAATGTATAGTTCAGAAAGATCCCTCCAGCAATAGCAAGAAATAGGAACCTGGAGAAATACCAGACTGGAGAAGAGGAAACCAATTAATTCATAGTCCAGGAACAAACTGGTGAAGAGCTGAATTGAGGTAGAGGCTATGGGGATGGAGAGTAGGGAAGAAAGTCAGAGATGTGAAGGAAGCGAAATGCTCTCCAACAACAGTAAAAGTGCATACGTGCATGACTGAGATGGGGAGTATGAGGATGGATGGAGTGGATGAGTGCATGCGTGCATGACTGGGATGGAGAGTGTGAGGATGGACGGGGTGGACGAGTGCATGCATGCATGACTGGGATGGAGAGTGTGAGGATGGATGGGGTGGGTTAGTGCATGCGTGCATGACTGGGATGGAGAGTGTGAGGATAGACGGGGTGGATGAGTGCATGCGTGCATGAATGGGATGGAGAGTGTGAGGATAGACGGGGTGGACGAGTGCATGCGTGCATGAATGGGATGGAGAGTGTGAGGATAGACGGAGTGGATGAGTGCATGCGTGCATGACTGGGATGGAGAGTGTGAGGATGGACGGGGTGGATGAGTGCATGCATGCATGACTAGGATGGAGAGTGTGAGGATGGATGGGGTGGGTTAGTGCATGCATGCATGACTGGGATGGAGAGTGTGAGGATAGACGGGGTGGATGAGTGCATGCGTGCATGACTGGGATGGAGAGTGTGAGGATAGACGGGGTGGACGAGTGCATGCGTGCATGAATGGGATGGAGAGTGTGAGGATAGATGGGGTGGATGAGTGCATGCGTGCATGAATGGGATGGAGAGTGTGCGGATAGACGGGGTGGACGAGTGCATGCGTGCATGAATGGGATGGAGAGTGTGAAAATGGATGGGGTGGATGAGTGCATGCATGCATGACTGGGTTGGAGAGTGTGAAAATGGGGTGGATGAGTGCATGCCTGCATGACTGGGATGGAGAGTGTGAAGATAGACAGGGTGGACGAGTGCATGCATGCATGACTGGGATGGAGAGTGTGAGGATAGACGGGGTGGACGAGTGCATGCGTGCATAACTCATTGGAGAGTGTGAGGATGGACAGGGTGGATAGTGCATGCATGCATGATTGATGGAGAGTTCCAAATTTTATCTTGAATGATGGGTGGATAATGGTCACATTCTCTGATAGGTGACCAAGAGAGGGGATCAGGTTGGGGTGGAAATATAAGGAGTTCAAGTTTGGGGTGATGAGGTGCTAACAATACCTTCCCTCATTCTGGCTACATAACAATGGCCTAAGAATTGGGAGACTTTTGATGTTCTCAGTATTCCTGGGGTAAGAGCCTTGAAAGTTGTTAGTCATTAACAAGCTCAGGGAAGGGTGCATGCATTTTTGTTTGTGCTGTCTCCTGGTGACCTAGTTACTGAGCACACAGTAGGAAAGAATGGAATAATAAGCATGGATCTTATTGTCAGGTACCTGGATCTTAATCTCATCTCTTTCTTTTGGGCAAGACACTTAACTCCTAGGCAGCAAATGGGATTGTGAGTAACACCTGTCTTGTGTATTCCAAATGTGCTTTTGAGAACCAAAAATGATATATGACAGTGCCTTGTAAGCTATGCATGGCTATGTGGATGGAAGTAGTTAATGTTATTATGCTCAATAATAAATTGATGTTTAATAAATGACTTGTGATTTGGGTGATATAAGGCTGCTGGCCTCCCCGTCTAGGCAGTGAGCAACCAGGGCGAAGAATGGAGCAGAGGGGGGTGTCAAAGACTGAATCTTGGGTGAAAGCAGGCAAACAGCAGAAGTTGGCTAAGTTCATGAAGGTGCATTTGACCAACTGCCTACTTCTCTATGGATGGTTACCAAACATCTTCAATTATGCTGCACTTTTTTCTAATTCCTCCCCACCTGCTGCACTCTGGTGTTTTCTCAGATTCCTTCTCTCTGGTCTTTATGCTGAGCAGACATGGTGTGGGGTGAAGCTCAGTACTCCCCTGTTCTCAAGGTCATTCATTCAGTTGCTAGGTCTGGAGCTCACTCCCCTTTGCACTTAAAATCCTTCTCATGCAGAGATTTAGTTGATGCCTGGTAATCCCTTTACTTACTTAGACGACCAGTGTTCATTTTGAAGCTACAAATCTCACTGGTCTTAAAGTCCAGTTATGTATTCTGAATTCAGTTTTAACACAATTTTTTCAGTTATTTTACAGCACAATCGCAGTGAGCTCGTAGTGCCCCTGACCCTGAGCGCCCCTTGCAGGTGCTGCAGGAACATAGGATGCTGGCTTTGAAGTCAGCCGGCTCTGGGCTTGTTTGCAGCTGTGTGGCCTTGGGAAAACTATTTCACTACTATGGGCCTCAGTTCCTTCAGCTATAACGGGAATGATGGCTCCCTGCCGCCTGGCTGCTCTGGGGTGGATCGAGATCACGCATGTGAAGTGCTTGGTTCTCCCAAGCACAAAGTTGGTGGTCAATACATTATAGCAGTTATTATTATAATTATTGCTTTGTTGTAACTATTTATGCTTGGAAGATCTGGAACTTCAACTCAAGCCTTCTGTCTAGACACAAATAGCCACATTGAAGAATTAATTGTATGGAACATTTCAGGCACCACCATGCTGAGCACTCCCCATGTGGAAGATGTGATGCTCAGCCTTGAGTGTGCATCTTACACGCTCCTCAAAACAGTCTCTGTTCTGAAGCCTAGAGAGGTTAAAGACCTTCCTCAAGGTTGTGCATTCAGTATGGTGTGACCCTGGATGAGAACACCAGAGCCCTTATCTTCTATACCCCCAGCTGCCACTGTGAGTCTGTGGACATCCAAGACATCAGAGCTCTATTGAAATAGGCCTCCTCCATCAGGCCGTGGGCAGGATAGAGGTGAGGTGATGAGCTGCCCACATGGACAAGAAGGCAAAGGAGAAGGGACATCTCTCTGCTCCCCCCATACCAACCATAGCCAGTGAGGCCCTGGCTGCCTGACAGCAGCCCAGCTTGTGCTCCTGCCACCTCTCCCTTGCCAGATGCATCTCTTCTCATTAGCCATCTGCCTCCTTGTGCCAGCTGATAACCCACAGGATGTGGGCAGCTACCCTGTTAGAGAGACAGGATGTAAGATCAGCTTATGAATCAGTATGTTCTTTGTCACGTTCCTGTTCCCCCTAACAAGAATGTGGCAGGATTCAAAATACAATTAATCATCATCCAACTTCAGAGTGTCAGGGGTTGGTGTCTCCTAAGGAATCTTGACAGCCTCAGTCTGCAAGCTGGAGCTGAGGAGGTTGGAGTCCGCACAGGGGAGCTCAGGATGCCTCCTGGCCCGCCAGTGCTGGCATAAACGTGAGTGGGGAGGTGAGGATGTGCCAGGGCCTGGGAGAGCTAAGTGTTAAGAAAAGAGGCCACCAAAGGAAAGTGATGCTTCTGGCCAGACAGGAAGTAAGCCGAGGTGCCTGCCGCCTGTCTGTCAGGCTGAGTGGCAATGGGTCAGTCCTGGGGTCTGGAACTACCATGTGCCCGCTGGTGCGAGCTCTGAGTGAGGCACTGGGAACGAATATGCGAGGAACAGGACTTCAGTGTACGGAGATGACCTGGCCCACATTTGAAAGCGTTATTCTAGGAGCAGGGATTAGTGAACTGACCGTGCCGTGCCTTTCCACTTGGTCTCCCTGGAGAGGGCCAAGGGAGACCTTGAAGGTCCAGGGCTCTGAGCTCAGCCCCACTTGAGGAGGCTACTCTTCTCCTTATGGCATGGACTGGCTTCATGGGACTCGTGCCTGCAGGTTTTAGCTGGCTGACACAAAGCCTGGCGGGGCCAAGGGATTGGATCGGGACCATTTGGTTCTGGGGAAATTCCCTTGAGCTTCTTCTAAATGTCACTGTCCCAGATGGAGTTTCTCTGGCTGCCTCTTCTGAGGTAGCAGCCCCGCTCTTACCCATCACAGAATCTGAAAGGGCATGTGTTTACTCATGTACTTGCAGTCTCCTCAAAAGCAGGAGCTGTCTCTTGCTCACATCTTCTGTGCTGGCCCCTCTGTGCCTGCATCTGGCACACAGCAAGCACCTATGTATTTGTAAATGAGAGGAAAATAATAGCACTAAATGAACCCTATCTTCAGACTTCCAGGCTGAGAGTCTTCAAAAGAAAACTCGATCTTGTCACTTTTCCGCTGACAGTCCCTCAGGTCCCATCACATACCAGATATAGTGCAAGCTCCCTCGGCTAGCATCCAGCCCCTAGGCTCCTGCTCTGCCAACCTCCCCAGTTTCATTTCTCACCATTCCCCACCCCAGGCATCTTACGTGATAACCCAGTGAATCCCAAACTTTGGTGTACATAACACCTTGGGACCTGCTGAAAATGCAGACTCCTGGCTTCAGGTGACATCAGATAGGGTACAGGAGCTATCACTCTTTTTAGAGGTACTGGTGAGTCTGACAGCAGGTATTCTGTGGACCACACTTTGAGAAGTGATACTTCTATCCTTGTGCACTGTAGGCAACTAGCTGAAAGCTGCACACTTCCTCCCCCTGTGCCTTTGTGTCCATGGTGACTTCTGCCTGCAATAGCCTTTGCCATTCACATATTTTGCCCAGAAAATGCCTATGCATCCTTCAAGACAGCTCAGTGGTCACCTCTTGTGGACATTTCTACCTCCACCAGGCACATGAGTGTTCCCTTTCTCTCTTCATCTACGGAATCTTACACATACCTTTCTTGGGGACCGTTCTGCTTATTTCTTTTTCTCCCTCCTTTCTCCCAACACTGTGTGCTCTCAGAAGAACAACTCTTAGTTATCTCAGGACCCTTGGCGCTCATCAGAGTACCTGGCAGTAAGTGTTCATCTGAGACAGCTAGATGTGTGCTGGGAAGTCCAGCTGGCACACATCTTTTCTTCCTAACTCTGTTTTGTTTCTGACTGTGGGTCTTTCCAGGAGTTCTCACTCCAGAGAATGGACAGCCTAGTGGATGATCGTGTCAACATCCTGGGATTTTCCATTTTCAATCAATCACATGCTTTCTTCCAAGAGTTTGCCCAGAGCCTCAACCAGTCCTGGCAGGAGAACTGTGACCATGTGCCCTTCCCTGGGCCTGCGGTAAGTACCCACCAAAACTCCCCTTCCCCCGCTGTCCCTTCGCCTCCATATACACTCTCTCTCTGTGAGCCAGCCGCCAAAACATAAATCTTCCTGGAAACCACCCTTCCCCAAGCCCACCTCAAAAAGAGGTGTGTAGAGTGCTGGGACGTAGTTCCAAGGAAGAGTGTGTCCACTACTGTGAGTGTGAACAGCACACTTGGTGGAGAAGACAGCAGGGAGAGCTATGTGGAGCACTGTGTCATCAGTTAGTGATGTCTGGCAGCCTCCTATGGCCACACTCCTGACAACACTGTTGCTGAGAACTGTCCAAGTTCAGAATCCAAGAATATCGCTATTGGAAATGACTTTAGCTGTTCTGCTACCTCATTTTTCAGACAGGGAAACTGAAGCCCAGGCTGGGAATGGGAGGTGTAGGATCTTGTTCAAGGGCAAACACTGAGCCTTTTGCAGGTAAAACTAGATTCTGAGACTCTGGCTCTTGGTGCAGTGCTCTTTCCGTACTCTGGACCAGGGCCCTGAGGAGGAGCCCATCCAGAGACCTCTCTGTGCCCTCACCCATGTTCTCCTCCTCACCTTTCCGTTCCTTCTTTGTGTGTGATGGAAGCAAAGATTCCTTTGCTATTCTCCATCGGGTTTGATGTCCTTACTTGTGGGGCAAGTCTAATATGTTTGCTTGTGTCCACTTGCAAAAGACAGGTTCTAACAGGTGGGAATTGCATGGCTTTCTAGGTCCTGTCCCAGCCATGCTACAGTTAAGCTCTTAAGCCCCATAAGGCAGCTATGTGATGTTCATGACAACTTTTGGAGGTAACGACTATCAGTATCTCCATTTTAAAGATGATGGGACTGAGGCCAGAAAGGTTAAGGAAGCAGCCCAGGGCCACAGAACTGATGAGCAGAGGAACTAAAATCAGACCTAGGCCAGGTGGGTTTACAGTTCAGTTTTAAGCACTATGCATTTGACCTTTCTCTAGGACTGCCATTCCTTTGCCACACTGCACTGCACATTGGCCTGGCAAAATGAAAGTAGCTAGTGAGTATTTGTCAAGTGAATGGTTGAGTGAGTGAGGCAGGTGGAATAATGAGTTAAAGATGTAAAGAAATGGAAAAGAATTAGGTTTTGGAGACAGCAGTGGAACTGGGTACCTTCTTGGAGTGGATGTTCTCTGCTGGGCTTTAAAACAGAAGTGAGATTGTCTTTGATAAGACATGTCCAGGGGCAAGGACAATTCTGGGCATGGGCACACATGGGCACTGATTGATCTAGCAGTGGGCCTGCTGAAGGACAAAATGACCTTCCACCAAACTCTGTGCCTTTTTGATTGTGTAGTCTGGTGGACTTCTTAGGAAAGAGGAAGGAGCTAGAGGGTCAGAGCTCATGCAAAGCTCAGAGAGCTTGACCAGAAGAACAGCAGGAAAAAGAGACTTGAGAACTGAGCTGATGGGAGTTTACAGAGTGTGTCCCAACAAGGTATTTTTTACCTGAAAGAGGTAAGGATCCATAGGAAGGGTTTGGAAGCCCCATTAGGGGCTGAGGGACTGTGAGGGACATGCTCAAGCACAGTCTCATGGATGGACCAGACTCCTCTCTCCCGGCAGGAGTAGAAGCACCCTGGTCTTCTCTGCCACTCTTGTAGCCATCACTCCAGGATTCTAATGAGGTGCTGATGGCCTTAAGGCTCCCAGCACAATGTTGGGAAAGGAAACAAAACCACTGCCTCCTCTCCAGCTCAAACCATTCCATACCTAGCACCTGGCCTAGTGCAACTAAAGGTCCCTGCTCCACTTTTCCAATTTCTCTCCAAGGGTTATAGCCCCTGTGTTAGTGCCCACACTGACCACAAGAAGGCAGATGAGAGGCCTCCATACTTAGTGTGATGGCATGTAAGGACCCAGCACAGAGGCCTGGCAGTGCCCTTTTCAGGCTGTGGGGCCAGCTCTGGCCACACTCATGTGCTGAAAAGAGCTCTGGCCTACCTGGACTCAAATACTGGCCGTGTGATTTTAGGTAGCTATGTAACCCTCTGGACCTCAGACTTTTTATCTGTAATTTTGAGCTGATTATACTTGACCATCTTAGAGGATTGTTATGGAGATAAAATGGGATATAATTCTATCTTCAAGGTACAGTCATGCATTGAATGAGTTTGTTTAACATTCTATATGCCAGCCACTGGGATAGGCATTAGAAATTTATCAGGAAGGTTTACAACAGACATGCTGTGTAAACACCACCCCCAATCTCACTAGCACACAGCAATAGACATTTACGTAGCTCATGCATTTCATGTCAGCTGGGGTCAGTTCATCCCAACTGGTTCAGCTGGGCCACTCGGGATCTGACTGAGTTCAATCAACAGTGGGGGTCAGCTGGTTGAAATAGGCTAGGCCTGACTAGGGATGCTCAGTCCCACATACCTCTCATCCTTGCCCTGGCCAAGCAGGCTGTCCTGTCATAGTCTCATGGTAGTGGCAGAAGGGTGGCAAAGCAAGTGGAAACACACAAGACCTCTCAGTCCTAGGCTCCCAGAATGGGCACATTGTGACTGCCACTTCACTGTGTTGGCCTAAGAAAGCCACACACACAAACTCCAAGTCAGGTAATGAGGAAGTGTACTCTGCCCTTTTAGAAGAAACAGAATGTGGTCGCACAGCAAAGGGCCTGAGTACGGAGAGGGTGAAGGATTGGGGCCCATTATGTGATCTGTCACAAAAAAGATTCAAAGTCACTATCCTCTGGGGTCCCCAGCATGGAGAGCAGGCTCTACTCCCACCTCTAGGACAATGGTCCCTAGAGGCGTGCTGCTCCTACGGGAACCAAGGGAGACCCCTCACTACTGCTTGGAGAGATCAGGGGAGGCTTTCTAGAGGAGGGAAGCAATACCTTGCTGGTGCTCATTTACTGTGTGGGGCATCAAACATCCAGACACTGGCTTGCTCCTTGACAGGGTACCAGTCATGTGAAACAGCCCAGATGTGTGAAAGAAAACCCTGGCCTTGCTCTTCCTCTTCCCAGTCCAGCCTCAGACCTCCCAAGACCTTGGCATCTTATGCTCCCCGAGAATGGTTGGGGGCATTTGGGGAGTGGATGTATTCTCTGGAGACTCCCTCTGTGCTGGGGACAGAGAGCAGGAGTACAACAGGCTGTGCCCTGTCTGCTCCAGGCCGCCTCAGAGGGTGAGAGGGGAGTAAGTGCGAGCCTTAGACCTAGAACTGGTCACTGGGAGGGGACAGCCAGTCCTGGGTCACATTCTGTTTCTACTTCACTCAGCTTCCTCTTGGCCAAGCCCCTTCGGTTTTCTTGCCAGTGGAGTGGGACCTGTGGTTTTTCTAGCGTAGGAGACAAGGGTGCTCTTCCATTTGCTGTGACAGAGCTGAAGATGCTGTTGTGTTTCCCATGAAATCTCCACCTTCACCTCCTTTTCCTCCTCAGGGCATCCCAATAACAGATAAAAATGGCCATGCACTCCTTCTTTTGCAAATGGGAAAACTGAGGCACGGGAGAGCTAGATGGTATGCTGAGGTTCTCAAGGGGTGGCTGCTCTAGTGCACCTGGATTGCAGCTCAAATCTGCTTCTCATAATGGAGAACCTTCCAGCATGGCCTCTGTGGCCTCCAAGGAGGAACGGAAGGAAGGGTTTATAGGAGCCCCTCACATCAAAGAATGTGGATAGGAAGCTCACAGCCTCAAACAGCAGCAAGTCCTTCTCAAGGCTTCTCACTCTAGTGACAGCCTTTCAAAAGGCTGTGCCTCTTCTTGTCCCCCCGGGGCTGGGATTCCCAGCACCAGCAGCCCAGCTCTCCCATTGGCTGGGGAGCTGGGAAGCAAGAAATCAGCTCCAGGAAAGCACAGTCCAATCTCGTTCCCCATCCAGCTTTTCAAACAGCTGGACCCGCTCCCATCTCAGTGGGGCCGACTTCCCCCCCTCTCCCCTTGCCGTCATCGCCCTGCTCCCTGTTTCTCTCCATCTCGGCTCCAGGCTCTGTCTCCCTCCTCTCGTCTCCTTTTCTCATGCTTCCCAGTGTCCTGTTTCATAACCTCCCCTTTCTCTTCTGTTCCTTTTTCTCCCCTCGCGCTGATGGCCCCTCTTCGCTCTTGGCATTTTCTTCTCTCCTATTTCTTTTCCTCCTGACTTGTGTGCGAGCCCCCTCTCTTCCTCACCTTCACCTGTGCAGCTGGCTGGGAAGGGGGCCAGCTCTAGGGCACGGAGAGGCAGCGGCCGAACTGAGAAGCAGCAGAAAAGGTTCAGTGCTGCCCATCCTGGCTGGACCCCCTGGCTGGCGGCAAGCTGCAAATGTGCTTTTTGCTGAGACAATGCAAGGAATGAGTGTCATGCATGGAGATAATACCCACTGGGCTCACACACCATTCCTATTAATTATGCTTCAAAGAATAAAAGTAGTGGAAAGTCATTTAAATAACAGATGGTTACCTTAAGTAATTAGAATTTATACTAAAACAGATGTTTGTAAGTAAGTGTTTATTTCACTGAATAAAACACAGATTGTAAGAACTATTCCATGAGATTTTAATGATCCCTGCCCTGGTATTATATTGGGTGTGGAATTCAAGCTGCAACGGTTCTGAGACAAATGGGCTTCCAAGAGGAGCCTGGAAAGCCATGCAGCTGAGGTGCATGATTAGAAGATATTTTTATTTCTATTTCAGGGGAGGGAGAATAAACTGGGCCACAATTCCCTGAGTCAGATGGACTCATCTTCATTCATACAGAGTCTTTCACTCCCCTAAACAATTTACAAACAGCTCAAAAGAACATAACAATGAAGAACCAAATGGAAATATAAAACAAGAGAAACATTGTTATGCTTCTTGCCAAGCAATATTTGGTGCCAAAAGAAGAGGAGAGGATTTTAAATGAGGATTGAGGCATTTGGGGGATTGGATATTTAGGAGACAGTGATAGGAGAAGTAGAGACAAGGCCAAGAGGCAGGCATGCACAGGTGGGAAATGGAAGCCACAGAAAGATGAGGGGTCTTGACAGAGAATGGAAATGGGAGGAAAGACTGGCGGGAGATGGCAGGGAGGGGCCCAGCAATGGGAGCAAGATGGGGTGCAGTTTCGAACCAGAACTGCTTTACCCAACTGTAGTCCCAAGTGCTTTCTAGAAGTAAATTAGTAAATAATGTCAGAGGCAGAAAGCAATTAGGAGAACAGACTTAGGGATGGAGATTTAGCGTGAGATGGGAAAGTCAATGAGACAAAGATTACAGGTTCTCACTCCATTGGAGGTAAGGTTGGGCGAGGAGAGGAGATTGGGACTTCGGGGGGTTAAGCTTGAGGTGCATGGGAGGGCAGCAAGGTCTCTCAGAGAAGCAGGTGGAGGACCAGGTTAGAGTCCTGGGCAGGTTGGCAGGAGCCTGCGAGAAGGCTGTCTGGGAGGAGAAGATGCCTGGGGCTTCGGGAGTGTTCAGTTTAAATCAGACCAGGTTGAACTGCAGAAGGAATCTGTGAAGCCCAGGGCATACTGGGGACATGTCGCCTGTGTCAACATGTCACCTGTCTGAAGGCAATACACAGATGGAGAAGAGACAGGTACCTTGAGGACGTTCCTTCCATCTACTCCCTGCCTCCAGCATCCCTAGCTGGAGTTGTAATTCCTAGAAGCGCTCAAAGAATCTTGAAGGCCCTGAAGTTTGAGATACCATAGAACACTGGAAACAGGCACACACTGATCTCCCAGCACCTGGACCATTTGCTAATACGAGAGCATCAGCCAAGAAAACCTTGTCCAGATGGACTGGGGATAGCAGTAACCATGTGTCAGGAAAGCTCTTGGGGTCTGGTGGGAGAATGTGGCCAATGGCATGGCATGCTGTGCCTGCAAGTCCACAGTGGTAAGGGTCTCTCTGGGACCAGCATGCAGCCTTGTGAGAAGAACAGGGGTCCCAGGACTTCACGACTAGTTAGGGTGCTTTTGGTTTTCAGTAACAGAAATCCTGAGTTAGATTACCTCATGTAAAAAGAGGAAGTGTGTTATTTCATATCAGGGCAAGTGGGGAAGCAGGGCAGGTTCCAGAGTGAGTCACGGGAAACCTAGGTCCTTGTGTCTCCTCTGTGTCACCCTGCATGTCCACTTCATCCTCAGGCTGGGGCCAAGATGACTACTGCTGGTCCAGGAATAATGTCTAGACACAGGAGTGTCCAGAGGAGGAAGGAGTGCCTCTGTTAGAGTCAGGAAGCTCTTCTGAGAAGCCATCTCTCCCTCCAGGCTTTAGTTCAGGTCTCATTAGATTGGGCCACATGCCGAGTCCTGAATTACATATTGTTAAGGGGACGAGATGACTCTTGAACCACTCAGGCTCACTTGGGAGCTGGGGCTGAATCAGCCTCCTCTGAAGCATGTGGCTGCTTGGGGGAATGGGAGGACATGAATGAAATAGGGCTTATATTAGAAAGGAAGAAAGGAGAATGGGTACTAGGTACCCTTCCACTGCCCCTTCCGTCCTGCCCTTGTAAGTTCTGTCCTAGAAAAAGTTCCAAGTGACTCTTAACTGAGGAGTTAACATGAGAACAATTAGATCAGTAGGCAAGAGAGAAGCCCCTAGCCACCAGCCGTCCCTTTGCCTAGCTCTGGCTTGAGAGCCTCATGCTCCTGTCTGCTGTTGAGAAGGTAACCACAACTAGAAAGGTTGTTTATGTCATCCTGGGAGGCTAGGCACAAGAATCAGCATGATGGAGCAATGACATACCTGGGCTTCTGGAGAGGTGCCTTGTTGGGAGTGAGGTGGAAAGACAATGCTGCAGAGATGGATGGAAGCCGGACTAGGGGGAGTGGTGCTGGGCTTCCATCCCAGCTCTACCGCTGTCTTGTTTGGTGACACTGGGCAAGAGGAGACCTCTTTGAACCTCAGTTTCTTCATTTGTAAAATGAGAGAATTGGACTTCTTGATTTCTAGGATCCCTTCCAGTTCTAACACTTGGTGATTTTGAGGGTCTCAGAATGGTGGGACTAACTGGGAGGTAAGGGAGAAGGTAGGATAGAAATGAGTTTAAAGTATCATTTTAATAGCCAGACCGAAAGATCTAGAAGCCAGTGTCAATAGGGGTCACTAACTCTCTTTGAAGAAGAAGCTTGTCTAAGCTGGAAAGGAAGAGTCTGTAGCATTCATAATTTCCGTATGTCCTGTTGGCAAGAAAACACGTGAGACCCATTAATAAAGGAGCCACATGGGCTCAGGGGAAAATGACTTTGTGCAAAGGAGAAGAACAGTTGTAAACTGGCCAAGAAGCATCAGGTACCACGCAGGTGAGCCTTGAATCAAATGAAGGAGCTAAGCTGCAAAGGGAAAGGGCAGTGGGATGGAGAGGACAGGATGGAGGGTGATGGATGGGAGGGACTCAGAGGAGCCTGGCTGGCCAGCACAGCTCAGCAGGACTGCAAAGGGTTCTGCTGATCTTGATCGTGCAGTGTAGGTGCTCCTACTGGCTTGGTCTGCAGGTCACATGTGGCTTCAGGACCAGGCTTTGGGAAAAGGGAGGTGCTGGACCTGGGAGGGCAGAAGACCCAGTGCAGGCAGAGGGGACACAATGGCTCACTCTGGCTGTAAGGCCTTCGTAGAAGATGAAGGGTGTTGTGGTCTACAGTTGCTGCCAGATCATAGGGGCTGAATAAGTGTGGGGAGGAAGGTAAAAAGGGACAAGAGAGGAAGAGAGAGGGTGAGAGAGAGAGAGAAAGAACACGCTGGCCAGGCAGTTTTGCAATGCAGCTGAACCTGGATTGGGTACAGAACTTTATTTGGCTGGGTTTCCCTGTAACTGCCTTTTAGGAATTTTGTCCAGTCAGCCCACCCAGTTCCCATTACAGGCCTCTTTGCCCAACATGTAGCAACACTCTGAATGAAATAAGTCATTCTTCCCAGCCTGTTTCTGGCCCTGTAGCTCTGTTCTTACTGCTCCCCAGGACCTTAGTTCAGCCAACACCTGCTTCCGGAGCACCTGCTGGCACTCATCTGCACCTGGGTGCACAGCCCTTCCCTCAAGAGTGATCAACCCGGCACTAATAGTTTGCAGAACACTTTAACAGGCCTGTGAGGCAGGGGCAGCAGCCTCTCTTGTACAGGAAACTTGCTCATGCTGAGGTCCAGCAGCCCTCTCAGATCACTCAGTGCATAGCGAGGGCTGGGCTCTGGGCTCTGGGCTCTGGTGTCAGTGCCCCTGGTTTCAAGCTCTTTCCTTGTACCGCGTTGTCTCAAGTTGCTTACACTCTGTCTGCAAAGCTTAAAAAAGCTAAGAGATCATGAAATGATCTTCCTGCCTCCAACCTTGGAGGCGCCAGTGTTTAAGGGCCCAGCCAGGTAAGAAGAAGGTTGGGAGAAGTCACATGGAAAGTGCCTTCAACTCTTCTTTTGTTGAGAGAAGTGACTTAGAAGGGACTGTGGCATTGCCCATGATACAATGTCACAGTTCAGGGAAGGAACCCGCTTTGTAATGGGGTTGTGTATGGACATCACTCCTTCCAGGAGGCCTCCTGTCTTCCTGGGCCTCCGCTCAGGGCCCCTGTACAGTGTTGACCCTAGAGTTGTTTACATTCTGTGTATTTCTGTTGTCAGGGACCTATGAACACAGCCCGGTGTCATTGCCTCCTTGGATGGCACATTCCCCAAGGACAAGTGTCTTCTGTTTTTCTGCTTCCAGCACCTTCATCCACACCCCTCAGCTTTCCCCTCCCCAGGGATACTAACATCCACTTAACTTGATGTGATGTTCACCAAGATTTCACCCAAATTAATTTGATTCAATAAATATGTTGGAGGCCTACCATCCAGGTCCTGGTGCTGTATGCTATGCAGGATGTAGAGATTAGTCCCTGCATGTTCATGCCCTAAGAGTTTGAACTGAACTGACCTCTTCCCTGGTCTTAAGTCCCTCCAAAGCATGACCCCTGCCTCATGCCTGGTTTCTTGCTCTGCCCTCTCCCACACCCCTCCAGGTGTGTTCTGCACACCCCACCTCTTTGCTCATGCAGCTCCATTTTTGGAATGCCTTCGCCCTTTCTTAGCTGTTCCCCACTCTCAGATTCGATCATTTTTCTACCAAAATCCTTTAGTGCTCAGTTCCAACACTGCACCCTCCAAGAAACATTTTTTTGATCACCCAACCAAATAAGCTGTTATCTTCTTTGCAACCCCCACAGACCTTTGTGGATCCATCAGACTCAGTTTCATGTTAATCTTAGTTGTGTCCTGTCTCCCCGTGCCCACTCCCCTATTTCACTATAGTCTACCACAGAAATAGGGTCTTACTCATACCTGGGCTTTGAACTTATCATGTATTTCATACATATTCATCAAATTAATAGTACGGAGTGGACTGTAATAGTATGTACAGCTAGGAAAAACAATAGCATGGAGGGTCTTCCCAGAGGAAGTAGCCTTCACTCGAGTCTTGTAGAGTGGGTTCCTGTCTCTCCCTGAGATAGGCAGCCCCATCGCCTTCTGGGGGATTCCTGAGAGCAATAAAAGTGTGTACTTCCCTGGAGCAAAGAGAGGAAAGGATATCCTTGAAATCATTTTAGGTTCAAAAGGGTAGCTTGTTGGTCCAATCCCAGAAAATTCTTTGCCACTATTGTCTGCTTTGGGTGAGCACCCGGACTGTTAGGGGAAGTGGAGCTAGTCCAGAGGCAGGAGGCAGGCCACAGGCAGCCAAGATGCACCCTTATCTCTTCTGTTTTGCTTTTCTTTTTTGTTCCTCCTGTTTGTTCTCTCTTTTCTCCCTTTTCCCCTCCCTTCCTTTACACCTGACACTTCCTCCCCTGCCCCGACCACATGCCTCCTCTCGAGTGGACGGCTCTCCTGCTCTCTGCCCTCTCCAGCTCTCCTCGGCCCTGCTCTTTGATGCCCTCCATGCTGTGGTGACCGCGGTGCAGGAGCTGAACCGGAGCCAGGAGATTGGTGTGAAGCCCCTGTCCTGCGGCTCAGCCCAGATCTGGCAGCACGGCACCAGCCTCATGAACTACCTGCGCATGGTGAGGGTGGCCGGGCTCTGTGGGACCCTGCCGGTCTGCCAGGGGGAGAATCACCTCAAAGTCAATCACTTGCAGGCCTCAGTTATCTCAGCCCAGATGAAACAGTGATCTGAGGCAACCCCATTCCGTGGATCATGGGTCACATTTGTACCCTGATCCCTAAAATCACTGGGAATACATGGCAAGTTTGTTACAAGACAATGGCCCTTGAGAGCTTTAGACAGTTCAGGGCTTCTTGGATGCCAGGCTTGGATCCTGAGCCCTCACAGGTGGTCCCTTGGGGATGGATGCTGCTGCTGTAGACCAGGACCCCTCAGGCCAGCACTTCTGACTCGGTGCCGGTTCCCCATGTTCTCTCAGCACATGTCCTGCAGTGGACAGACGTGGGTCCCTAGCCCATGAAGAAGACATCACCTGTCAGAGAAGCCTAGAGCAGAGTGGCTTGGATTTTGCATTTGAGTTAGGTTGTCCTGACTTCTTGCAGTCTGTGGGTGGGTGAGAAGAGACCCTATTAACATCCAAGGGCCTGGAGGAGGTGCTCAGGGGAATTGGAGCTCAAGCGAGTATCTTGGTGTTGCTTTGCTTTAGGCAGCAGATTTGAGGTCATTAGGTGTGGGGCATCCTTCTTCCCCTCTAGCACCAGCCAATTCTGAATTGGTTCCAGAGACATCACATTTGTAGTTTCAAGAGCCTGTGGCTGAGAACACAGGAGAATGGATCATGATTATGTCCCCTTTCGTGGGCATGCTATTTAGGCATCCTTAAATAGCACATCTGTGGAATGCTTGCTCAGTCCTGGTGGAACGTGGGACCTATTTGGTGCTGTAACTTACTCTCTCTTGGACAGGTAGAATTGGAAGGTCTCACCGGCCACATTGAATTCAACAGCAAAGGCCAGAGGTCCAACTATGCCTTGAAAATCTTACAGTTTGCGAGGAATGGTTTTCGACAGGTAAGCCTGGCTATGATGCCATAGTGGCAGACCTCCTCTTTGTTCCTCTCTCTGTCCTCAGTCCATTTCTTCTTGACACTCAGGACAGCAGGCTGTACGTCATGCAAGGCTCCTGGCATGCACTGGCTCTCCCTCCTGCCACCTGGTTCAGCCAGTGTGGGTCACAGGACTGTAGTCCCAGCAAGATACCAAGAAGAAAGCAGCTATGCTTTGTTGTGGGGCAAGGGGAGGCAAGGGGCTATCACGTAAGGAAAGGATTCCCAAGCCTTGTCCACTATTTTGGATTATTTTACTCCCTGAATCTTGCCCTAACCTTGGAACCAGTGCTAGACTCCAGGTTGCTTGCTGGTTAGAAACAGGTCAGACGCCATGGAGGCTGAGGAATTTCTTTAGTATTGGAATGGAAGCAAGTTCTCTCCTGTCAGTTCTTTCCCGACCAACCCACGCGCACCCCTACCCCACCAGGCCGATTATGCCCCTCCGCTCCAGTCTGCTACCTGCCCCTCCCACAGCTAAGGGTGTTTGTCCTTTGTAGCTTCTTTCAACTCCCTGCTCTCCTTACCCTCCTCCACCCACCTGCTCCTTTTTTCTGATTCTGTTATATCAGAAGAAACAGATTCCAACAGCCACTCTAAGTGCCTTCTGAAGGTTTTCCAACCTCCTGTCACCCTTATAATCAACCCTCTATTCTTAGCCTAGCCCTTCAGCAACCTTAAAACCACTTGAGAAGTAGGGAGCAGTGCACTAGTACAGCAGGAAGCAGACACACTGAAGAGCTTCCTGACTCTCAGGGGAGCTGAACAAGGGAGCACACCACTGCAGGCCGCCCTCCAGGAGAGGGTTAAGATTCGCCATCTTTGTCATCGTCATCATCTTCATCATCATAGTAGTTTTTATTTATTAGGTTCTTACCATGGGCCATATAAGTGTGTCCTATGTATTTTTTCATGGGACCCTTACAAAGTTGGGACTCTTTATTGACCCCTATTTCATAAGTGGGGAAGCTGAGGAGATTGACTGACATGGTCTTGAGCAATTAGAAATGACAACTAGTTTTGAACCCAAATAACTCTGAAGTCCAGGTTCTTAACCATTATAGTAAATCATGCATTAAAATTACCTTGGTAATTTGGTAAAAATGCAGATTTTTAGACTCTACCTACAAGAGCCTGACTGGGCAGCCCGAGGATAGAGCTAAGGAAGCAATGCAGTCAAGCACTCAAGATGATTCTGACGACACCGGGCCAACGCGGTAGGGCCATCATACTGTGTCCGGCCACTCTGCTCCCATTCGGAGAGGCTCACAGACCCAGTTGAGTTCCCTCTAGGACATTGATTGCACTGGGCCATGAGGCCGAGTCACCCTTCTCAGATCACAAAATGTAAATGGAAAGAGTCAAGAGTTTCAAAGAGGGAGAGAGCATGAGCCCTGGGGCCAGCTGTGTAAACAGCTCCTCGAAGCTCTGGGCAGACTTCAGTGATCTTTAAGCAACGGCAACTGTTACTACTGTCCATAACTCCCCAGGTGGGGCCAGGGGTAGCAGGCAGCCTGACACTATGGGCTGAGTCTCACAAAGTGGTCCTTTTGTTTACCTGGCAATCATTTATTGAGCCCATGCTATGCGTCAGGCACTGTGCCCCCATGGAGGGAACAAAGCTGAAAGGCACAGTCCCTGCACTAAAAGAGAGCTCACAGCCTGAAGGGGTGAGATTGATGATAAATTAAGTTAAATTTGGGGTCATTAAACTCAAATCGTGCCCTCAGGTTCATACTTCCCTGAACAAATGAAGCAGTCAGCCTGTAGGGAAATTACCAGGCAGACTTTTCCCTGGGCTCCGATATGCTTGGAGGATATCAAGTAGAGATACTCATTCCCTCAGTAAATGTCTGCTGAGTGCCTTGCCTCCTGTGTTCTTAGGCAAAGGTTAATAAAATGGGCAAAGTGTCTGCTTTTGTGGAAATTATTCTAGAGACATACAATAGACAAACAAATACAAATATAATGTCAGTAGTGATTAGTGTTATAGGAAAAAATAAAACAGGGTAAGGAAATGAGCATGTGGAGACTAGTCATGGTGGAGAAGCAGTAGTTAGAACGTGATGCTTTCACCAAGCCCCAGGCCCGTCCCATGGAAAGCCCATCTCAGGCTTTGAAAACTCCTTTTGGTTCTCACCCCTGCTCTCTGAGTGTATCCTGGGAAGAGCCCACTTCTAGTGCCCCTTCCATCAAGCAGCTCCTATGGTGGCAGAGTTGGCTGGTGGTCCCGATCCCACCCTGCACTTGAAGGACAGCTGATTAACCTTTTCACCACAACTGCTGCTCCAGCAGCTGCCACCAGGCTGGCTTTTCTCAGGCTGCTGGCTGCAGGATTAATTCATGGAGAAGCACCACCAGCAGCTGCTGTTCCTTCAGCAGCACACACTGTGGCATAGGTAGGGCTACTCAAGCCTAAGTGTGCACAAGAGTGACCAGGGGTGTTTATCTTTAAATTGTGGGGCATCCACAGGCCCCACAATTCTGAGTTAGAATCTGCATATTCTTAACTCCCAGCTGGATGGATCAAAATAATGCAGGTGGTCCACAGATTACGTGTGACAAATACTGCCCTGGTAAAAGAGTGTCACCTGCAGCCTCTGTGCACAGAAGTCCTTCCCACCCTGTCTTGAATGGAATCCACTGCATAAGTGACCATTATAGAGAATGGTGCTTTTGAACTTCAGCTACACTAAGGGGGGGACACACTCCTGATTGAACTTATAAAGTGGATTATGATAACCCACTTTTAAAAGTATACTGCCCACTTTTCTTCAACAAATCTGGTGACTGTCCTGCTGCTTTCCTGTCTGGCTCAGATTCTGTAAGTACCAATGACAACTCTGCAGGGTGCCCATGGACACAGCTTCAGCTTCACAGCAGTGCTCCCAGGTCCCATCCCAATCACCAGCCCAGTCTTTGCCTCCTGACATGTCCTTCCCCTGCTGATTATGGGGTGAGGAGATGTTTTGATGGGTGATAATTAGTCGCGCTTCTCTTCCACAGAGGGAGGAATGTCAGGATCTCTGCCCTAATATTCTCCCTATTACAGCCACAGTGATGCTGGCAGGGGAAGGAAAAGTTACCGGGAGCAGGGAAATGACATTTCTCAAGTACCTCTTGTGTACCGGACACCACATGGTCACTTTGCACAGATCACATCTGATTTGAAGAACAGCCCTTCAAGGTGGATAAACCCATTTCACAAATGAGGAAACTGAAGCTCAGGGAGGGAAGGAACTCAGCCCAACTAACTATTAGTAAGGACTCTGGGCAGAGCTGGAACTCATGTTCAGTTCATGCTCTGTGTCTCCCTCTTTTGGCCTTGCCTCATTTTCCCAGAATCCCTAAGACACATCAAACATTTTACTAAGTTCTCTTGCTTTGCTGCTACCTGCTGCAGACCAGAACTCCTGACTCCCAGTGATCTGCTGGGCTGCGCTTTCTCTAGCCATGGTGTCTTCTCATTGGGATTTAGTTTTGTTTTTTTCTTTCTATCTGGACTACTGACTATTAAGAGCTAGTTTTTATTATTTAGAGAGCACCATGCAGGGACTCAGTGGGTTATAATTGGTAAAATGTCTGAACCAAATACCATATTACCTGCTAGTGGCTGATTAAAGGAATATTAAAATTTTAAAAATAGTCTTTCAGAATTCAGGATTATTTTATACCATTTAAAGATTACTATTTTGATTGTTTGGAGGAGATTTTCCGTCATGGGACTGTGCAAAGCTCCCACCAAAGCCTGTTTGGGGAGATGTTCCTTAGTGTCCAGGAAGCGACTTCTGACCCTGAATCAGCCCCCATTGCCTATCAATTGGTGTAGAAGTCAATGCTATTTTTTCCAGTTTTTCTGGCTCCATCCCCTAGTTTTTGCCTGCATGAGATATCCCATCTCCCTCCCATATTCTCCCTTCCCATCCCCCAGATGTCCTGGGTGGTATTGGAATAGTATAATCTCTCTTCCTGATATGGGAGAAATCATATTTGAAAGAGGCAAGGCAAAAAAAAAAAAAAAAGAAAGCACAGCATAAAGGACCCTTTATTTCCTTCATTTAACTTGGTTGAAGATTGGAGACTTTGAGCAGCCCCCAAGCGACTTTGTTAGGGCTATAATGAGATGAGCACATCTTTCATCTGAGGATCTGAAACGGCTTAACAGGCCCTAATTAAGCCTTTGAGAGAGGGAAGATGAAGGAACGGGGGTCTGAGGTCCCTGGCTACAGATGCAGATCTCAGTTTTCTCACTGGCTGACTGTGTATCACAATGGGGGCATCTCAACTGTCTTTCTCTGTGCAGTGAAGGTGATAGCCTTTCAACATGTGGCCTGGCTAAACCCAAGGATTATTGAAACTGGATTTGCAGGGCACTCTTTTCTGCTTGCCTGTGATTAGCTAGAAAATTGTCTCTACTGACTTAATAATAAGAATAGATAACATTTATCATGTGTCTCCTACACGATGCGCTGTGCTGAGAGTGTGTATATGTATTTAAAATTTCTCGTATTTTTATCAGCCATGCATAAAAGCTTTTCCCTCCATCGTGCAGGTAAAGAAACGGAAACAGAGAGAGATAATGTGCCCATATCCACATAGCTGGTTATTTACAGACTTAAGAACTGGGTCCGGATCTAGCTGTTTTCAAATTCTGTGGTCTCTTCACCTGCAGCATGACCCTAGAACACACTGGAGGAGACCTTTGAGGCCTCTAGTCTAATCTTCCAACACAATGCAAGAATGTCCTCCACAGGGTCCCTAAGAGAAACAGCCATTTGGCCTCTTCTTGAGCATATCCTAGGCTGGGGAGTTCACCATCTTCCAAGGGGCATTCTGAGTCTTGTAGGCACTGGGTCAAAATCTGCCTCCTAATCCTACCCCTTGAAGCAACCCAGAAGACCCTTCTTTCTGTTTTTTTCCCAGCTTTTCAAATATTTGAAAATAGTTTGATATTACCTCATTCAT